TATGTTCTCTGACTAGAAAAAAATAAAAACAGAAAAAAAATTGTTTCAAAAAAGGTTCATAGACATATATGGTAAGAAAAGAAAAAGAAAAAAAAACCCATCTATTTTACATAGCTTAAGCATTCATCAGAAAAGAAAGAAATGAATAACCAATTGCATTCACTACTCACTGGAAAAAGATATTTTAGGAATAATGGAATTTAAAGGGTAGGATGTCACCTTTTCTTTCCCTTTCTTTCTACATTGGCCCATCAAATAACTGGCACAGTGAATGATATAAGTATAGCCAAAAATAAAGGAGTTTGACATTTTCATTAGCTTGTCACAGTTTCTCATCTGAGAAAACATGCAATATCATTTTGACTCTTTGAAAATTAATTCTTACTTGATAAATATTTGGGAGACAGACTTGTTTGAAAATGTGAGGGCAGTGACAGAAAAATAAGCCAAAGGACTCCTTAGTTGTGAAAATGTTGGGCCCTAGTAGCATAAAACAAAGACAGAGGATTGTACTAAACTATTATAAAAACTTATGTGTGTCAATGGAAACAATGGACAAAGTAAAAAGGCAGCCTATGGAATGGGAGAAAATATTTGCAAATCATATTATCTGATATGGGGTTAAAAATCCAGAATATGTAAGGAACTTGTTTTGACAACATCACTAATTGCAAGAAAAATGCAAATCAAAACCATAATCACTCACAACTCATATCCCTTAGGATGACCACTATTAAACAGAAAGCAAGTGCTGGTGAGGATGTGGTGAAAGTGGAATCCTTGTGCACTGTTGGTGGAAATACTAAATGGCGCAGCCACTGTGGAAAGCAGTATGAAGGTTTCTCAAAATATGAAAAACAGAATGATTGTATGATCTAACAATCCACTTCTGGGTATATATCCACAAAATTTCAAAGCAGAATCTCAAAGAGATACTTGTACACCCATGTTCTTTGCAGCATTATTCACTATAGTCAACAAGTGAAAGCAACCCAAATGGCCACCACCAACAGACGAATGGATAAAGACAGTGTGGTGTATACATACAATGAAATATTATGCAGCCTTAAGAAAGGAAGAAATCCTGTTACATACTACAACATGGAGGAACCTCAAGGCCAGTCACAAAAGGGCAAATAATGTATGATTCCACTCAGAGGAAGTATCTAAAGTAATCAAACTCATAGAAGCAGAAAGTAAAAAAGTGGTTGCCAGGCCCGGCATGGTGGCTCATGCCTGTAATCCTAGCACGTCGGGAGGCCAAAGCAGGAATTGCTTGAGGCCAGGAGTTCGAGACCCCCATGAACAAGAGCAAGATCCTGTCTCTACAAAAAATAGAAAAATCAACCGGCATGATGGCACATGCCTGTAGTCCCAGCTATTTTGGAAGCTGAGTCAGGAGAATTGCCTGAGCCCAGGAGTTTGAGGTTGCAGAAGGCTATGATGACACAGCTGCACTATTGCTTGGGTGACTGAGTGAGAATGCTGAAAGATGAAAAAGTTTTAGAGATCTGTTGCACAGTAATATGAATACACTTAATACTATTCAACTGTACACTTAAACATGGTTAAGATGGCAAATTTTATGCTATGTGTCTTTTACCACAATTTTTTAAATAAAGAAAAGCTTTATTGAACAGCATAATTAAGCATTTGTACAGCATGAACATGTGCACATGGCTCCACCAACCAACAGCACTGGGTGGGACATTTATTCTCTACTTTTCATATTCCCTTCTGTGAAAGGACACCGGTCAGTGTTATACCCTGGCCTCTAGCATATCCCCTAGTGACTTAACTGAACGAAGACTTGGGCAGAGGAACTGGAGCATGTGGAATGCAGCCTGACTCCTCTTCTCCATTGGGGTCAGCCTTCATGTAGGAATTACAGGCTTTGCTCTCAGCCACGTGTTAGAAGCTCAGCATTAAAGGCTCCCCCCGTGTAGGAGACCTGTGGCTTACTGCCTACAACTGGGAGCCAAAGACTCCCCACTTCTGGGGTTCATACCTAGAAAGCCTGTGTGGCTGTACACCTAAGCCACATCCTCCACCCTCGCCTTTATAGCAGTGGTGATACTCTTACCTCTACCTGCCCAGCTCCTTTATCTCTCAGTGGATTCAGAACTCAATCCCTACGAAACACAGAGAAAGGTTCCTTTCTGCACCGCAATTACCTTTTGAGGGAGGGTGACCATATGGAACAAGATCTCTGTCCATTATGTGTTGGGTTCACTAGCTGTAAACTGTTCCTGACCAGTATTTTATCATAGGAGCATGCTGAAGGTTCCAGAAATACAGTCAATATTTGCATTTCTATGACAAAACTTCCACAGCCTCCTTTGGAGTTCCAGACATATATGACCCTTAAGATATTGTCCTACCAATTAAGAAGGAAACTCCTCCTTTCAATTGCCAAAAAATCATAAGTATAATTGTGATGGTCATTATAGATTTTTTTAAGAAGTTGTTTCATGTGATATTTAAAGGACATATTTTCCTTCCATATTTTCTGTTGTTATGACAAATTGTATTATGATATACAGGAGTCTTAGCATTTTTTTTTTAAAGTGCCCAAATACTTTATTATAATCATTCTTTTTTAATACCATGAAGCTACACATTATCTGATGCTGTCATATTTAGTCTTTTTCTTGGAATTCTCAGTATTTTCTCAGTCAGCTGATATCCACATTCTATATCTTTTACCCATTCACTTGCTCGTATCCTTAGGTATATAGGACTTTTACCCACACATTTTAAAATTGCTTTGTATTAGGTGCTTACCATTTTTTCTTTATAAGGATGTTTAACAACCTGGTTAATCATTTCCTTCTAGAACATTTCATGGTAGTTATACATTGAAGGCTAAGTTATAGGGCCTTTTCTCAAATAAAAATATTGAGTAACTGGTATACAGTCACATACAGAGTACAATGCTACCTATGCAGTGATAACCACATGAAATGTTTTCTGAATTATAACATGGAAGATCTTCTGAATTAACTAAAAAAGAAATGCTATCCTCAATGTACTCTTATTATTAAATGTATCCTTATTGATAACCCATCTACTAAGTAGAACATTTTATTAATCAGATGACTCTAGTCCCTGATTACAGAAAAACAACCCGCTACATGTGATTTCCTCTGTCAGGGTCTAAAGAGATGCCATTGATCATTAGATCTTCCAAAGCTAATTCTCGGTCTGGATGGTTTAGCTGGTACCACACCTTTTCATTGTCCAGACAACACTGATATATGAATTAACATTTCATCTCAACAGCCTAATTTAGAGAAAATAAGACTACATGCCACTGTGGAAAGAGGGTATTGTACTGATACACAAGAGGGACCACAGAGATATTTTTCAATGTATCATAACATGGGAACTAGCACCTTTTTTGGGTAAGAAACAGTAAAAGCCCATTTTTTTATCACTGATTTACCCATATGAATTTTAAAAAAACCTACATAACAATGAGGGTCTTCCTTTGTACATTCTCTTTTGCAGCAGAAAATTGAACATTCTGTGGATCTCAAAAATGTTACCTGATGAGGAGGTTAACTCTTCCCCATAGGAAAAAAAAAAAATAAAGAACAGCTGATTAAGAATTGTTTGCTTTTATCATTAGAGTAAAAAATCCTAAATAGTTAAGGTATAAACAAATTCCTTTACTTCCCTGCTGAGGTTATTGAAAAGCTAATTAAAGATGTGTTTTTCATGTAAGGTATTACTAGGAGGCTTCTTTTTTCAAAGGGGAAATTCAGAAAAGGTTAATAGGCAAAGACCTTGGTAGAGTACTGGGAACAGTTATTATGTGAATAATGAATTATGCAACAAAAATTGTTTTTAAAGAAATTTGTTATGCACTGTTACAAGCCAAGCACATAGTACATGAGGAAGACATATGAAATATATGCATACCTTACCAAGTAACTTTTTTGTTAAAGTAGTTTCTCCAAGATGGGTAGCTGCAACATTAACATATTTTCTTCTCATTATAAATATATTTCATTTTAATTAGTAGACTGATTCTTAAAAAGGTATCTGAGAATCAAATCCCTTTTCTTCATTTCTTCAGAGACATTTCACCTTTACTTTTGATTAACTTCAAATGGACTGAACCACTCTGCCAATCCCCATTAGGTAGGTGATTGGTGATTTATGAGCAAGCACTTATATTAAAGGGAAATCAGTTATATTTCAGTCTTATTCTCTTTGTTTTAAAAACGGATTCAGGGGGTTCTTAAATGATGTATTCATCTGTTTTGTAAGTCAGTGTTTTATGCAGCAAATGTATCTTTGAATCAGGATACATCTATTTTGTGATTATAAATCTGGTGGTGTCAGAAGCCAACATTTTAATATTGTCAATGGATGGAATAATAAGGTGTAGAAATTAATCAAAGAGAAAGTCATAAGTCATAGATGGGTTTAAAAATAAGGAAGTATCATTTCTCCATATGTGGCTCACATTTTTCACTTAATCAAGTTTAACCACAGAAGACACATAACCAAAGAACAGGGTTGCAAAAGACTGCACATACAGCAGCTTAGAGCTCAGGCTCGACCTTCTGTTTCTGGCAGCTCCTGGTGGTCCCTCCCCCTCCTGCTTCTACGTCCTGAGCCAGATCATGGCCTGTGAGTCAGAGCACAGCTCTGCTCCCACCTGCTCCCATCTGGAGGAACCCTTCCTTCCACTCTTGTTTACTGCAAAGGTCAACTCCGAAAATGATCACAAATGAATGGTTCATGCCCTATAAACACACATTAAGCAAGCCCGTGATAGAGGACAAGTGGCTGGATTTGCTCACAGAAACACTTACTGCAAAATCACACCCGGTACTCTTCTGTATGTCTTCCACTGTTAGGCCTTCCCAGAGCTCAATCAGAGTCAGCCCTTTCTTCTTGTCCACATCAAACACAGCCTGTCAGAGTTAAGAAAATAACAGTGACAATTTCTATCACAATACTTATATTATGGCACATAACATAAATAACCTCTTAAATTCTTAAAAGAGACAAAATCCAGGACAAAAGACTCTGAAAATCAGCACTGAAAAAATGTCAACTATCACGTTTTGGTGAGAATACATGCCAGCTCCCCAATCAGCAATTAGCTGTGGAACAGTGTTGTTGCCGGAAAATAAATGAGTGTTGACCATGGATGGCATTTGTTGCCATCGTAACCAGTGTTTTAAAACTACCTTCCTTTTGTTAAGCGCCTAAAACTTTTAGTTAAATGTCCATTAGGTGATTAATAATGATTTGAAGGAAAGGAATGAAGAAAAAGAGGGAGGGAGGAAGATGATATTTGGATGGTGAAAGCACAGGGATGACTGGAAAAAGTTGATAAATGCTGCCGGGCAAAGAATTACAAGAAACAAAAGGCAGTGCTTTGAAGTGCCTAAGAGTAATTATAAAAAAACCAAATCAAAACCAAAAAAAGCTATCCTGGCCCTGAAAGATACCCAGGGAACTGTTACAACTTCCTCTTTAAGTTCTGTAAAAACGCATAGGTCTTGAGAGGAGAACATGAGAATATCCCTCTGATGTGCAAAGCAAATGAAGATGCTGATGTTTAGGGCAAACAGGAGAAGGTCAGCCTCACCGGAAGCCTTACATTAAAACATCCTGGTCTGTAAGCACAGGTGATGGCAGTGCCAATTGTATAGCTTGACCTCAGCTGGTAGAATCAACCTGTTGTATCTGATTTAGAACACGCGCTTTCACACTTAGAAATACGACAACTTGTGTGGAAGGGACCTACAAAGTCATTCAATATAACCTTCCACCCAAGAATTATTCAAAACATTCTTCTCAGATGGCTCTGCTTATATATTTGCAGTGGCAAGAGGCTCACTTGTCTCGAGGAAGATTGTTTATTGATGGGAAACTCTAAACTTAAAAACCAAAACTGCTTCCCTTGGACTTTAACCCTCTTGATCTACAGGTTTCCTCCAGCACACTGGACACTTTCTCTCTTTGAGCTCTCATGGTTAGTTTCTGCTTTCTCAGACTTAAATGTTACACTTCCCAGATGTTCTCTCTCCTCTGGATTTAACCTAAATTCAACTATTATTTGCAGGCTTAGCATCTTTATTTTCATCTATCTTGGAAGTCAAAACCCTGAATTGTCATTTTTAAATACCGTCCTGCTAAGTGGCTAATATTATCACACAGTAACAGGTAGAGGAAAGAACCCTGGTTTCTGAGCTGAACAAGAATTCCATTCTGCTGCACAACAGCTACACAACTTTGGTGAACCTATCCTTGCATTTGTAGATGTATATCATGAAAATCTACTACCCAAGATTGTGATTTAGGAAAATGTAATAAGAAAACATAATCGGAGCACCATTCCTGGATCACAGCAGTAACATTGTACAAGCACATTCTTACTCCGCAGTAGCTTAACATCTCACTGGTGTGTGAATCCAGATCAGAGCCCTAAAATGACTATGGTCTCCAGTTGACTGATATTTTCCCCCAGGAACAAAACATGACTGGGACCAGTGATACTTGCATTCTTGGTTTGTTTGATGAATTCACAGATAACCTGGTTGATATTACTAGAAAAGAGGGGTTTACACTTCAGAGAAAACATTTCAGCAAACTTCCCTTTTGTTTGTACATTTTTATGTTACACAAAATTTTTTTAGTAGAAATGTGTGTTCCCAGATTTAAAAAAAATCATAATTTAGGAATGTCTATATATTCCGTGAGTTTGCTTCATTCCCAAATGACATTTTTTTAAAAATGGATACTTTTTTCTTTGCAGAAAATGTTTCTTAAGCACTATTTATACTGATTTACTTTCTCCTGCATTATGAACTATAAATTTATAAAAATGGAACGAAAAAGCCTCTGGATTATGTTACTAAGAAAAGGCACAGAAATGATTTAGGGACAGGATAACTGTGGTATCAGGAATAAAGGCTTCAGTAATCAGGGAGATATAATTTACAGCAAATTGACTTATTGCTTCTAAAAAACTTTTATTAACACTTTCATCAAACCTTATTTAGCTCCCAAGATCATACATCAGAAAGCCAAGCATCTATTATTAAAAAAAGAAGGAAACTTACTTTCAAAATATTTAGGAAGGTTTCCATTTAGTGCAGTAAGGTGTAAACAAAAACTTGATAAAAATGGCAACTAAAACCTAAAAGCTCCAATAAATTGTTCAATTATCAAAAATAATATTGAAACTACTTTGTCTTACTGATAAATAAGATAATTACTTCATCACTATTATAAATGGCTACATTATGGATAAAACAATCATAGCCCACCATAGCTGGTGAGGAAGACATCTTTCATAGCCTCATTCTAGCAGCTCAAATCAAGGAAATCAGAGTCGTAGCATCTTCCAAAGTCTCTTTCAAAGGGCAACCTAATGGAATTTTCCCTGGAACTGATTATAGGATTCTAGTCCCATACCTGCTAGTGGTAGGCCTGGATACATTCACTGCCCTAATGACACTACATTCTCACTCACTCATTCAACATGTATTTACTGAGCATCTACTATGTATAGAGCACAGTGATAAACATGCAACATGCTCTTCCTCGAGGTACCCAAAGTTCCAGACTTCGCTGCCTTTCTCTCTACTCATTCTTGCTATACAATGTTGTCTACAGTTAAGGCTCCAATTATCGCCCTATGCTAATGACTCCTACTGACTTTTCTTGTGAGCTCTAGATTCAAATTTCCAACTGTTTACCGAAATCTCTGATTGGATATTCTCAAGAACATTAAATTGAGAATGTGCAAACTGAACCTATCTTTTCATGGCTCCCATGGATCCCCGCACTCCATCTCCTCCGGTTCTGGGCTTCATTAAGGATACAGCAGATCAACCATCCTCTCAGAGCACTTAGGAATCACCTCTGTCTTACCAACCATGTCTGATTCATCATCAAATTAGGTTGGGTCCATCTCCTAAATCTACTTCAAATCTCTCTTTCTGTCCCATGATTTAGGATCTTGACATTTCTTGCCTAGATCACTGATGGATCCTTCTAACTAGACTCTTCCTTATCTCCTTTCTCCCACTCTACATAGAAGCTACAGTGTTTTTTCTAATGCAATTCTGATTGTTTCCCTGGCTACTAAAAATCAATGAATGGTTCTCACTGCCTTCCTGATAAGATCCACATTTCTTAAAGCTTCTACATCCTCCCATGATCTGGTGCTTCACTGCTGTTTCTACCTTAGTCCGCAAAATGTGGCCATGCCCTCACTCCAGCTGGTTTCACTTACAGGTCCTTGAGCAGGCCATGTTTTCTTAACACCTTCATGATTCTGCATGTCTTCTTCCTTGTGCCTGGAAGGTCCTCTTTGGTTTTCTTCTAACTTATAAAATTCCTACTTATCTTTCAAGACTCATTGTTCAATCTATCAGTTTTCTTAACAAGAAAAGTATAAGTATTCACTGAGTGTGGGTCAGGCAACATGCTAAATGTTAGATAAGCAGTGGCAAGTGAGACAGGCAGAGTTTAGAGGTTATCTCAATACAGTGGTCAGTGCTAAGTTAGGATAAGTACAAGGATTGATGGAAGCACCCAGAAGATCTGGGGAGAGACAGGGAAAACCTGCAGGAGAAAGAAATATATAGCTAAGACATCAAAGATGAGCAGGAATTAGCCAGATGGAAGGGGTGGGAAGAATGCTGCAGGGAGAGATACAGGATGTGCAAGGTCTCAGAAGAACATAGCCAGGGGATAATGCAACATAATCTACAGCATTTTAGTACAGCTGAAGTGGGAAGAAAGTTAAGGCAGAAAGAAAGAGAGACTGGAGGAGAAAGGGTACATACTGTGAAATGCCTTGCAAAACACGTTCAAAGCTTGTATTTGATACAAACTAAAAGGTTTCCTTGGTATCTCTGCTCAGGCTGTCAGACAACTTTCATCTATGTCCCTAATTTAGCACCTGCCACATATCTCTTTCATGCCTTTACTATGTGTATTACTCTAACTGCTGGCACTGCTGGACGCCTGACATCTAACCCCTCATAAGTGTGATCCTTGGGGACAGAGACTGCGTCTTCCTCCTTTCTGTAACCCACTGCTGGGAACAGCTTGCTCAGAGAATGTGCTCAAAAAATGCTTAAATGAATTAAACAATGTGGTAGAAAGAAAAGGTATCAAAGTTTTTTAAATGGCAATAAAGTTAAATAACAATGTAAGGTATGTCACAAGAAAACTTTGGATGATGTTTGCCCAAATGAACAGTCGGCCACTCTGAGGATGAATCGCTGTGTGCTGAGACGGCGCGAGACCTCTTCACAGCAAAGAGGCAAACTGCATTAGGCTTAAAGGACAGGTAGCGGGGGGAGGCAGAGACACAAGTGGGAGGCACTGCAGCGAGAAGCACTGAACTGGTAAGAACAAGGCAGGACACACCTGGAGTCAGGGAGTAGGCAGAAGGGCTTGTGGGAAAAAGGGAAGAAGGGCGAAGAAGGCTGCTAGAATTATCCTTAGAAGGACTCCCACTTTATTAAAGAAAACAGGATAAAAGACTCCCACTTTATTAAAGAAAACAGGATAAAGGACCACTTTGTCTTTATTTTCAAAGTAACAGATTCCTCTCAACAGGCCCTGTCCATAGTTTGGAAGGGATTCAAGAAATGGTAAAGACTCAGAAAATGAATGGTGAGATAAAATACTCTGCCCTTTTATCCACCTGTTCTTCTCTATAAGTCACCTTTATGGCATTCCACATAAACAGTTCTGGGGAAAGGCACCATTTAGGATAAAGCCTTAAAATCTGGTTTCTGGGAACTACTATGAACCTCCTAACCTACTTCAAAGGCCTGCTTTAGGGTGCTGCTTGCTACAGCCCAACGAAGGTTAGTGAGACAGATTCTTGCCAAGACAGGACTGCTACAGCTCTTGGCAAAAGGAACAGCATTGAAGGAGGGGCGGGAACCCTCACACGGATAATTCTGTTTTGTGGCTTCATCACGACACCGAATCAAGATAGAACTATCTTCCCAGCTGACTTACGAGAATCATGTCATTCCAATATCCTAGGTTTAAATCTCGGTCAGAAAGGTGACTGACCACAGGCAGCTGATGCTTCTCTCGGATCTGAACAGCTTTCGTTTGTATCATTGGCCAACATTTTTCATCTAAGGAGAAAAATCTAGAGAGGCCCTTAAAATGGCTGGTGTGTTCTGATGCCCCACTTCATATTAACAAAAGAGGGCAAAAACCACGAAGACACAGAATACATCTGGCTCACTGTGGGGCCTATACTGCAATTTGCTCCCAAATGATTAAAACCCAATTTTGACTGAATTTCTTAAAATGTAATCCAACAATTTATACTTGTGATTTAGAAAAGAAAAGAAGGCAGGAATGATAAATATATTCTTAACTTTGCATATATCATCCAGCTTGATATCTTTAGTCAAAATATAAGGGCCGAAAATGTTTTCTCTGATTATATCACACTGTCAAAGATACCAAAGACTGTAGCTCAATTTTGTGTGTATGTTTTTCCAGAGAGTTGCACATGAATTCTACATTTAAAAACATTAAATCGATGAATTTTCTTATATATACTACCCACGGACTAAATTAATCCTATGACTACCGATACAATACACTTTCAGAAGGTAACAAAAATTGCTAAGAATGCTTATAAATAAAAAAAAGGTGGTGGTGGATATTAGAAGAATATTACCTTTTCAGTAATAATGCGGTTGACACATTGCTTTCCAGTCAGTGGTAATGTGCATTTCTCCATGATTTTATGTGCATTTCCCTGTTTCAAAAAAGAAACATCAAAAAGAGTAGTCAGGGAGTAATTCTTATTTAGAATTGGTGTAAGTATAGGACAAACAGGAACTATCAGAGGAAATTGTCTCCTAAGTACAAGCTGTTTAAAAATCTTTGCACAATCATGCTTTTTACTGTCTTTCTGGAGGCAGCATCTGTCCCTGAAATAATTTAGGGAGAATGCCAAATGAATAGCCAAAGGCGTAAATGATTTGGTTGGGAAACACCCTGCCACTCATTTGACCTCTCAAGCCTCAGTCCTTGTATCATCTGGTGTGAAATTTCACTTCTAATATCCTGCTTATTTTTCTCTTCCAGATAATGGTCTCCTTGAAAAATGTGGGCAGCTATCTGTCCAGGACATAAAGCATACACAGATCACAAATGCCTAAGTCTTCTTTTTAAAAAAACGTTTTATTTGTTAAAAAAAGTAAAAGTAATACACACACAGAAAACAGCAGCGCTGGCCCCTCTTCCTCATCCCTAGACTTGCTCTCAACAGGAATCCATTTCAAGGTATTTTTTTCTCTTAGCATTTTCTTCTATACTTCTACACATTTTGTTCTTACATCCTGATTTTTAAATATTATGTTTACCATGCTATTTATTTCTTAATTGATCAATTTTAGACATTATCTACTGATTTCTTATCATGGTATGATTCTACTCAATTTCTTACACAGCTATTTGCTCTCACTGGAGTTTGTCTGAACCTCAGTTTGCTTGTTAGTTAAAATGTTTGACCTGGCCTCCAAACGTATTTTTTCAGTTGCTTTTAGTCACCTTTCCTCAAGCATAAAAGACGGAATAAGAGCGAAAACCAGGTTTTCATCCATTAACTCCCTCTGTCCAGCCCCGCCCTCCCGTCCACCTCCCACCTGCAATACAGAAGTGGCCTCTGAGGCACATCTGTGGAACCAGATGAAACATGGGCTCCGAGGAGCTGACCTTCAGATCATTTTCTTCTGATTATGACTAAGCTCTTTTTTAAGTATCAAGCACCAGAAGCCTAAATGAATATTTCCCTTGAGGTTGATGGCTAAACTAGCATATTCTAGATGTTCTCTTAAAAATGACAAAATGCTTCTATTGCTTCCTTTTGGATCTAAATGCACCACCTATGATATCACCATCATCTTTAGCCACCTCAATGTTTTACCTGTTTAAACATATACCTGATTGGTCTAGTATATATCTCTCCCAAATCTGGTGTCAGACCAAGTATATGGTCAGAGGCAATGAATTCCAGATAACTGGATTCAATGAACAAGATTTTATTCTGTGTGATAACTTGTTAACTCAGGAACGCACTGTAACTAAAAGGTTTTTGTGTACTTAAACCAGTGCAAAGCATAAAAGGTATTCAATCATTTTTGAATAAATACATGTATGAATGAATAAATGGGAAGAGAAAGGGAAGTCTATTGAGAATCTTGGATGTATTTCAAAACAAGACAAGCTCTATTACCTTAATTCAGTCAAAACTGGTGCTAAATACATAAGAAATGGATAGACATAACACCTTTAAAAATGCATTATATGTTTCTGGATCTTAACGTATTAGACAATTTATAGCTGTAGAAATAAAGCCTCATTTTCACTTCAGTTCTAGCATCTATTTTCCTTTTAAGATTGCAAAATTTGCACATGCCACAGAAGCTAAATTAAGTAGGTGAAATTAATGATGAATATTCAAACTTCTACAGTTGTCAGGTCTCCTTACATTTAATGTAACTCAAATAAGCCATGTCATAATGAATTCCAGGCCTGACTTCAAACAAAGCGAACAATCTGTAGGCCTCTGAAGAACATTTTCTGCAGGGAGCCCTTAACTTTGTTCTCATTATTTAAGCAAGATCTGCATCTGGTGTGAAAGCAGGCACTTGGATTTTAATGAACGACTAACTCCGTTTTAAGGGGAATCATGAATTTCAACTGACAGAATTAAGTGCGCCTTACCAATAGAGACCTTTTATAGACCATTTTCTCTGCATGAACAGCACAGCACAGTGGCTAAGTGTGCAGGCTATAACCAAAGGACCTGCATGTAAAACCCACCCTGCCCCCATACTGTCTGTACAAGGCCTACATGCCCATGCTTCCCCATCCATGCTCTACCTCATGGGGTTACAACAAGGCTTAAATGAAATGCAAGGTTCTGGCACTTAGCAAGTGCTCAATAAATGTTAGCTGGTATTATTTATACAACCCATATTTAACACTTCTATAATCCACCAGGGAATTAAGTTCCTATATAAAATCTGACATAGAATTGTGAAGAAAATGGCCTGAACACAATTCCTGAGACCCCAAAAACTAATGAAAACACAGCACATATTTGGGGGCAAACCATATGGCTTGTCTAGGAAACTGGTACCAAGTATATTCTTGCAGTTAGACCAACAGAGCTAGATGATTCCATCCACATTTAGTTCCAAGACAACACAGAAATGAGAAATGAGAAAATGAGATGCAAAAAGATTAAAAATGTCACAATTTCAATATTCAACAATAGGTTAGCTATGAAGCCAAAATATGACTAGCTCCCACGTTAGCACGCTCTTCTAACCATGCTAGGCTGAGCGTTACAGTGTGCTATGGAAGCTGTGTATTTTAGTGATTCACAAAGGAGGAACAAGTGCTGAGTTTCCAGCATTTAAAAATAAATCCTAATAAAGAGATGCAGTATAGTGTGGCAGCAAAGAACACCATATCAGGAATGCAAAGACCAGATTTTTGGTCTTAGCTCTGCCATTTAACAGTCATTTGGTCTCTTAAATTCTTTGTGGTGTAGTTTTCTCTTCAGTTGCCTTCTGCTCCTTAGCTGATCATTGTAGAAATCATGTGAAATGTTCTGAAAGTGCAATAAACTAGGAGGAGTTGAATCTGTGTGCAAATAACCAGGGTTACTGAGGTGCTGGGATCCTTATCATTCTGCTTCTTTCTTTCCTTCCTCATGAGGAGATATCAGAAAAGACAGAGGAATGGATAGAAAGTGCAGCATTAAAAATGCTTTGACTAGTCCTGAGGGCTCCTGGTTTCAATATGCCCTTATTTGTTAACTTTGTCACAACCTTGGTAAATACCCAAATCCCTTTCCTGCACTTGCTTCCCTAGTTTTTCTCTTTTTCCCCTTCAGCACTTACAGGCAAGATGTAGGGTAATACACCATTTTCTTTTTAAGTGACTTAGGACCCAAGTCCTTTCTATCACTTGCGTCATAGTGATCTCTCTTTAATTCTTTCAATGTCTGAATGAAATCCTGGGCCTAAATTCTGCAGTAATAAACAACTCTGGTTAAATGGTAATAAATCCCCTTGCTATCAAAACAATAAGATTCATGTTATCACAATGAACTTAATCCCAAACAAGCAGCTCTCTCTTTCACAACAGAATGATGTTTGCTTTTAATGTCAACATTTCATTCATCCGAGGCAACTGAGCATTCATTTAAGATTTTGCTTTATATAAAACCTCATTTCATGCTCATCTTTTCTGCTAAGTGCTTCTTCATCGTGGCTGCAATGTATTTTTTTCTTTCAGGCACCTTCTTTGGGAAAGCCCTAATGACCAACTACAGAGAAGGCATAAATTCTAGGAATTGATTGTTCATAAAGGGACCAAGCCTTTAAGCCTACCTGGAACACATACCACCATGCACCCCATCACCCCACATTCAAATGGCACCACCTTCCTATGCTTCAGGACTTGGCTCAGGTGCTACCTTCCCTGGGATAACCTTCTTCAACATCCCTATCCAGTGCTGCAGTCTGGTGTCCCAGGGGCATCCCTGGTCTGTTGGCCCTCTTGGGTGCTCCTGTGCTTCCTTCCCTCACCGCACCTGTTGTCATTGTTGACCTCCTGCCACCATCCCCAATACACCCTGAGCTCACTGAATGGTGAGACCATTCCCCTTGGTATCTACAGCAATGAGTAGAACACCAGCAAACCACAGTGATCAGTAAATGCTGTCTGAATATTATATTTATGATTCAAGGAACTCCAATAGAATTGGAACTATCAAATACCATGTGACTAATGTCTATGGACCACTAGAAGCTGCTTTCTAGTTCTAAGATAAGTACTTACACATCCCTAGCATCTCTGAGCTCACCAGGAGAAGCACAGCTAGCAGAAGTATGTGAAAGGGCTTATCACACTTTGGGGAGACAGATAAAGGTATCAAAAAAAGGAGATGCAAAGACACCTCAGGACTGTAGTATGAAACATACAAATGTAAAAGTAAAGAGAGAAATCAGGAATTACAGGTATTTTACCTCTTCTACCTGTTCCCTCCTAAACTTCAAGGCTCGCTATAATTTGCCAAAAAGAGGGGCTACAGAGGCTGAACCTGGCAAGAGAATACTTAATACTTTGTCTGGTGGCACAAGGAAGCCAATGGCAGGTCTCTCTTTGGGCTTGCCAAAATATCATAAAAGGAACCTGATTATCACTGCCCCTGCCCCTTCTTTCTCCTCTCTGATCTCTATGCTTAAATCAAGTGAAATGTTTTCTACACACGCACACCCACAGATATAACATATTGGGGAATGCTGTATTACAAAATACATGACTGCCCCATTACTGTGATGATTGACCTGGTACATAGAAAAGAAGAATGAGATTTGCTAAATAGAGAACATCAAGGTACACAGAATAAAAGGCCAGGATGAGATTACTCACACTGCGTTTATCCTCTTGGGATGTTACTGGCCTTTACACAGTACCTACTCAGTAGAGTTTCCAACAATCCACACAGGACTTCAGTGGAGTGACTCCGCTAACTCAGAAGCA